CCCCCCGGAGTAAGGGGGCCAGCGCAGCCGCCTCCAACGGGCCCCGGCCAGCGCGCCCCGGCCCCGAGGCGCCACCCAACGGGACCCCGCAGCCCGGCCGGCCCTCGCTGGGCGGCGGCGACTTCTACGACGTCGCCTTCAAGGTGAGCAGGGCGCCCCCTCCCCGGGAGAGCGCAGCAGGTGGCGGCAGGGCCGCGGCGACCCGCGCCCGATGCTGGCCGGCGCATCCCACACAGCTGTCGGCCAAGCGCGGGGCGCCCAACAGCTGGCAGGGCTACACTGGGGCCCGCGGGGCACAGAGCCTGGCAGCTCCCTATCCGCGACGGGGCCCCAGTCCCACCTGTCCCCTCGCCCTGCAGGGTGGGCGGAGTGGGGACCTCCTTTAGGGACGCCAGGAAGAGGTCTGCCAACGGGATGGGCCTCCAGGCTGAGGCTGTGTGGTCTGTGGGGCGATGTGGCTCTACCATCCGGGAGTTTAGAATCTCTGGCTGCAGGATGGAGGAGGGGGCTGGGGGAGGGTGGTGGCGGGCAGGAGGTAGTTGGAAACAGCAGTCTGGCCAGCCCTTACTGATTTCTGGAACCTGTCACGCTACAAGGCTAGCCAGAACCCTAAGCCACTTAGCAAAATGCCCCTTGAGTGCTGACATTTGAAGAAGCATCCCCACCCTCGCAGGACACCCCCCACAAATATCTTAAGTGGGCCCCAGCTGCCATTTCCCTTGCCTCTTCTCCCCATTAGGTCCCAAATGCACCCTCCCCTCCTGAGCCCCACCGCCCCTCCCCCACCCGATTCAGCCTGCTGTACAGGGTCTGGTGGTGGTGTCCAGAGGCTGAGTGTCTCGGAGCCTGAGTCTCCCTCCTCCACCCCATCCCCTGCCACCAGCCCCCAGCCAGGCCAGCTCCCTGCACCCGGTCTGATGTCCCACCCGTGCCCTCACCACAGGTGATGTTGGTGGGGGACTCGGGCGTGGGGAAGACCTGCCTGCTGGTGCGCTTTAAGGATGGGGCCTTCCTGGCAGGTACCTTCATCTCCACTGTGGGCATTGACTTCCGGGTAAGCAGGAGTGCTGGGCCCCTGACACCCATGGGACCAACGCTGAGTTGCACCCTCAGCACCTTCCACTCTGCGGCTGGTGCCCCCAGGGCTGACAGTCAGAGGACTACAAAGGCGGGCACCTCCTATAGCAGGAACCAGGGGCTGCGGGGGGCGGGGGGCCAGGCCGTAAAAGCCGGGGATAGGGTGTTCGCTAGATGCTGGGGGAGAAGTCCCTGCCCTTGGGAAGGGAAGTCAGGGCCCCATATGACTGACTCCCTATCAGTATCAGCCCCCTAGCCCTCCACACCCTTGCCAACAAGCTTTCTCTGAGCCTTGTCTGGCGTGTGTATGTGTAGGGGGGCTTGGGCCCTGAGCTCCCCCAGCAGTCTTTGAGAAGGTGGGGAAGGATGGGACCAGGACCTCAGAGCCCCCCTTCCACCCCAGCCCCTGTCAGGTCAGGTCAGAATCCCATGTGCTAAGGTGCTGTGTATTCTCGGCAGAGCTGGGACTTTGCTTTCTCACCTTTTAATTAGACCTAGTTAGCGGGAGGCTGGGGTGCTGAGGAAGGGAGGCCTGTGGACAGAAAAGGGGCTGACTTCAGCCTGGGGTTCAAGTCCCCTCAAGTTCTCCAGGGTGCTATTCATGCTGAGATGGGAGAGTGGAGATGGCTTAGGCTGGGTGGAGGGGTCGTTTACCTGCTTGGCCCCTCCCTGCCTCTCTCTTGGCTCTGGTTCAGGCAGAGGAGGGAGGGGGGTGCAGTGGGGTGGTTGTCAGGTTCACACTCCTGCCCCAGGTGACAGGAAAGGCGGTGTCCTCCCCATCCCCCTGACCGGCAGATGGCTGGCTGCACCTGGCGCCCTGAAGACCTATAGAAGCAGGGCAAGGAGGGCGGGTAGGAGCCCTGCCCCATACTGGAACATGGAGCCTCAGTGGTTCCCATTCCTGCCTTCTCCCTAGGCAACAGGCCTGGGCTGGGCTGGGGGTCATTGCAGTGGGGACCTGGGGTACAGAAGGCCTATGTCCACTTTGCACCGTGGCGTGACCTTTGCCACGCCTGCCATCTGACCTGTATGTCTCGGTGTCATTAGTTAGAACCATCCCCAAATCCATTTCCAACTCCCCAACCCTGCACAGAGCAAACTGCCCTTTAAGCAGTCCCTGAAATCACAGTGAAAACAGACCCTCACTCGGGGCCATGGGAGGTCCTCAGTGCCCCGCTCACAAGTCACTGGGTCCCCTGGTGAACCCCAGGAAGAGCTGAGAAGACTGAGAATGGCCTTCCCAAGCAAACACGCTGACTCCCACTCACAGCAGAACTGCCCCGTCTGTTTGTGAGACTCTAACGGTTGCTGTGAGTGGAAAGGCTTCTCGTTCTTCCTCGGAGCAGCTGGTGGTTTTGAACTGCTGACCTTGTGGTTAGCAGCCCAATCTAAGTACTGACAATGCTACCAGGGTGCCTCCTTCTTCACTTCAAATAAGTGGCTGCAATGTTCTCATGGGCAGCCCATGTGGAGCTGGGTGAAGAGGAGCAGATGGGCACAGGCCCTCCCTGTGCTTCAGGGGAGGGGATGCTGGATGAAGTTGGATGGATTGGTGGGCCCAGGAAAGGAGTGGCTGGGGACTTGGGAGGTATGGGGGTTATGAGGGGCTGGGGTGGGCAACCTTGGAGGGTGGAGCATGAAATGGGAGGGAGGCCTGGTATCTACATATATGGGGATTCCCAGGGGCTGGGACACAGCAAGGGGCCTGGGGGGACCAAGGGGCCTTCAGGTGGGAGGTCGGAGGAGGGGGACCAAGAGGCAAGAGCAGAGAGACTGAATATTTGGCTGGGGGGATACCAGGCCTGGAGGTGGGTACCCTTGGCTTGAATTCAGGCCCCTCCTGTGGGAAGAGGGGCTAGGTTTGTTCTGACTTTGTACCACCTCCCACCCCACCCCCGCCATCCCACCCTTGGGAGCCCTGGGCCAGAGCACCTGCTGCTTGGGCTGGGGCAGCTGGCTGGACGGTGGCAGGAGTTGGCTGCTTCTGTTTCAGAACAAAGTTCTGGATGTGGACGGCACGAAGGTGAAGCTCCAGGTAAGAGGAGAGGGTGAGCTGAGCAGCTGGGGTCAGGGGTCACTGGGGGAGGCTGGGCCACCTGACCACTGGCTGCCCTGCAGATGTGGGACACGGCCGGTCAGGAGCGGTTCCGCAGTGTCACCCATGCCTACTACCGGGATGCTCATGGTGAGTGCAGGCCCTCCAGGTCCCCCGGGGTAGTGGGCAGAAAGTGGCTCATTTGATGTCACCACCTGTGACCGGTGTATGAGGTGACAGGTGCTCTTCGGTCCCCAGCACTGCTGCTACTCTACGATGTTACCAACAAGGCTTCCTTTGACAACATCCAGGTCAGTGGCCCCTCCTGAGGGGGAGGGGGAAGGGCAGGCCCTGGAATCCCACCCGGGGATCCCAGGCCAGCGTCCAGAGAGCCCTGGCTTCGTGCTCAGTGGGAGGCAGATCTGCTTCGTGTCGAATAAGGACTGAGGAGGGTAGGTGACTTTCCAGCCTTGGGGATAAGTCACAGTATGTACAGTATGTCAGCTGTGAGTCTACTAGAGCCCTTCAGTGAACCACGGGGTGTTGCAGCCTGGGGGTGGGGTGGGGTGGTGTCCTCTCCTACTGGGGCCCTGGCTGGGCCTCCAAGGTGTGCGGTCCCCCAGGACTGGCTGAGCGAGATCCAGGAGCATGCCCAGCGCGACGTGGTGCTCATGTTGCTGGGGAACAAGGTGGGGTGTGTGTCCTCTGGCTGGTGGGTGGGCCACGGTGGGCCAGCCGTCCAAGCTCCCTGCCCCCTGCCCAGGTGGACTCTACACACGAACGCGAGGTGAAGAGGGAGGACGGCGAGAAGCTAGCCAAGGTGAGTGGGTCTAAGGCAGGGGGGTGCCCCGATGGTGCTGGGGGCAGAGCACGGGCTATCTCCTGAGACCATAGCCCAGCTGGCAACAGCTGTTTGCAGGAATACGGGCTGCCCTTCATGGAGACCAGCGCCAAGAGCGGCCTCAACGTGGACCTGGCTTTCACCGCGATAGCCAAGTAAGCCCCCCTGCATCCCCAAGGCCAGCCCCCTGGATTCCTGGCTGGGGTCTCACGTCTGTCTGTCCTGCAGGGAGCTGAAACAGCGCACCACCAAGGCCCCCAGTGAGCCCCGCTTCCGGCTGCATGAATATGTCAAGAGGGAGGGCCGAGGGGGCTCCTGCTGTCGGCCCTGACCTGGTGGTTGCCCCCCAGAATGGGCCTGGCCCCTTCCATGCCTGTCCCAGCACACCTGCTTCAAGGAGCCAGCGGCTACACAGCCCGTCCCCAAGCTAGTGCGGCTGGGGTGGACACCTGCCTCAGGCTGTCTGGCCTTCTGCTGCCTCCTGCTGGACACCCGGCCAAAGTGCACCGTGCCTAACCTGGACAAGCTTGTTTTCAGTCATGCGCATCACGGGGACACCGAATGGCAGAACCAGCCTTGCAGGGGAATCAGCCGCTCCACGGCTGATTCCTGGTCATCATCTGGGCTGGGGCTGCTCCCAACTCCACCTGCTAGGTACGGTGTCAACACTGTCTTCCTTTGTGTCGCCCGGAGCCACCAAGGCTCTGTGATACAAGGACATCATTTGGTCATTCAGAAAGAATCCAGGGAAACCTGGGATGGGAGTCCCATGCGCCCACCAGCAAGTCTTTTGTCAGTGCCAGTGAATAAAGTGTGCTTTCCGGAATGCCTCCATCTGCCATAGAACCCCCAAGCCCTGGGTCGGGGTGTCAGCAAAGCCCGGGCTCTGATTTCACAGAATGTACAGTCTCCTCCCCAAAGGCCAAGACCCATCTTCTCTGCGGCTAACCCCAAGCTCCTTAGGGAACCCAAGGCCACCCTGGCTGTCAGCAACCTCTCAAGACACACTTCCAGACTGAGAGGACCCCGAAAAGAACAAAACCTCATCTTTTGGGGCTCACAGCTGAAAACTGGAGACGGGACCCCCAAAAGATGTTATGAGGGAGAAATAGCTTCAACCACTTGAGATAAAAAAGGCAGGCTTTGTCCTGGACAAAGCTCAGGGAACTGGGTGAACGTGATGATTTGCAGTGGATGAGTCAAGAGTCAAACATGCACAGATTGCTGGATGTAAACCTGATACGTGCTCTGTACCCCTTCACCCCACGCCCAATAAAGTAAAGGATGCTCACTGCACCTCCACCTGGGACTAGGACCCTCTGGGGGTGTAGGTAGCACAAAAGTCACACTGACCTGCCCTTTGGTTTAGCAGTTATTTACACACACACACACACACACACACACACCGAGTAGCCTTACCACCAGGACCTATTGTCTGCTGGGCCCCTAGGCTAAAGATGTTAGTCTTGGGGACTGCAGCTGATCCTCCCGTGAGAATCTGTTGCCACTCCAGATACTAGGATGTGCCCGTGGGTCTTCAGGGGGAGAACTGGGGTGGGCCGCCTCATCCTGCATGAGGTTATCACCCTCTTACTAACGATTGCTCAGGAAAGCCAATCTGTACCCCCCTGAGCAAGAGTGAGGCTTTACTGGTTGTTTTTGCCCAAGCCTCAGAAGACCAAACAAGCAGGCCCATGTGCCAAGCAGCAGTTCCACAAGCACTGTATTCCGTAGCCTGCAGGGCTCCTCCCGGGGTTTTCTCTGGCTGAGTACCATGGGGTGAACAGTCTTCGTGGGCATCATCCACTTCCTTTCCTGGTTACATCCTTAAAGTTCCTACTTCTTAACCAGAGTCCCCCAGCCCCGCTTAATTCATCCCATTTACACATACCCTAGGTACATGGGCTCTTGCAAATGCCACGTTAGCCTGCAACTTGGGCTCTGGCTATTTCAGTGACTTCTTGATCTTTTGTCCCCGATTCCTGATCTTGGACCCATTTGGGAATTATTTCCCACAAACTTTCCCCCTTTCAGTTGTTGGCCTTGTCTTCATTAACAATTTTCAAACTCCATCTAGAATCTGTCGGCGTTCTCTCAAAGTGTATGATCTGTGGAATACGCTGTTTGGGGTTTGTTTACTTGGTGGTGTCACTGGGCTTAGGCCGAGTCCTTGGACACAGTACATCCAACAGCTGTCAAGATGCCAGCTACTATTACGAGGCTGAAGATTGAGGCAGTCACACTTTTCTACTGGGTCACCAATCCATGTTTTTAGCTGAATTCATTCGCTAGGGCAGCGGTTCTCAACCTGTGGGTCTTGACCACTTTGGGGGCCGAACAACCCTTTCACAGGAGTCATAACAGTAGCAAAATTACAGTGATGAAGTAGCAAGAAAAATAATTTTATGGTTGGGGGGTCACCACCACATGAGGAACTGTACTAAAGGGTTGTGGGGGCATTAGGAAGGTTGAGAACCACTGAGCTAGGGTGTTTAATCCCTTTAAAATCTTTTGATTGCTCCATCAGAAGCGGTGTCATGTAGGGATAAAGGGTCAACACCTGCCTCCCAACATTAGACACCTCCCTTAACAGCAGGCAGCAAGTTTAGTGCCATCCTGTTTGTGGCATCTAACTGGTTAACTACCCCTTGCAGGGAATCTCTGGTGTGGTTATAGTTGATGTAGTTAATGCAGTCTACATTTTGATTTATGGTAGGCCGCCAGAAAAGTCTACTCTCAAACTCTGCAGATTCCTCCTTTTAAACTCATTAGGAACTCCACTAGGGACCCCAATGGGGTCAATGTGGATCAAAAGATCCAGGGAGATTTCTCATGGTGGCTCAGGATTTCTCCTGAAACGCTAGGGTGAAGGGAATTGCCAGCTGCCCCAAGGCACATGTCTCAGTCCAGCATGATGGGCAGCAAACCCGAGGTTCCCCTTTCCACATCACCACCAGTCATCTGCCCAAGGTACCTGAGGGCCAAATAGTTGGCACTGCTGGGCTCATTGGTGAAGTTTCCAAGGTTGGTACAAGTTACTAATTCTCCCATTCAAAGAAACCCAAACACCTCACAGCCTTAATGCCAACTCATAGCAACCCTATAGGGCAGGGTTGAGCTGCCCCTATGAGTTTGAGATTTGGGGAAAGAGCAATAAGCTCCTACAGCTGTCACTCCCAAGTCCTTGTGTTGGTACAGCCAACATGCAGTGCAGGCCTAGCTATCAGGTTTTTGTTGAGAGCTTGCCCTGGGCAGTCACTCGTTCTACCCAAGCTCACATTTCTGTCTGTCCTAAGCTTACTTCCATCACTGAAGTTAAAGGGAATCATTCTAAGAGTAGGCGTGGCTTGGGGGCAAGTCTTGAGTGGGGCAGCTGAGCACCACCCTACCGAGGAGACCTGTGCTCATTCTGTCCCCAAGCCACACACCAACTGATGGCCATCGATGCCAAGGCGGTTGGGCTAACACTTGGACAGGGCTGCCACCCAACTCTACAGTTAGAGGACTCTATACTATTCCTGGTGTGATCACCCATTTCAGCCTGCTAACCTCCCAGAACAAAGCCTTTTCATGGTGAGCAGGTGTATTCTCTTCCTGTGAGGGGTGCACCTCCTAAATGGTCACTTTTCTCCTGAGTCCTCAACCAGACTTTTCCCTGGGATGTGGCGGGTCCACCCCTCCTAAGGCCCCAGTGGAGGTCAATAGCACGTGGTAACGGTCTTGGCAGTTCAGCTGGTTTGTCTTAAACACTCCCCCCACCAGTAAATTTATCGGATAATTAAAAAAGCAGGGGACCAGCATGGACTTTAGAAAATGGTGGGTAGGTCTGTGGACCTTCCCAAGTAGGGGAACACAGGCCCAAAGAGGGCTGTAGGAAACGTACTCCATGGGGATTTAGTCCAGATTAACTCTAATTTCCCACTGGTCTGTTTGGTACATCCCATTTGCTTCTTGTCTCACAGGGAGGACTTCAAAGACTTGGATGCCACTCATTTTTTTAACCAAGCTCAATCTCAGTCACACACCACTCAACACCTGAAAATGCCCAAACCGCAGGGCAGTATTTTCAGTCTGATTTCCCCACACCCTAGCTCATGAATGAGGTTTTCACCCCTTGCAGTTTTAGGTCTTTCTTGTGGCCAGAGAAATTAGAAATGCCCTCCAATTTGTCAGCTCCTCTTGGTTACTGCTGGATTAGTATAAGGCCCAGGGCTAAGCCTTAACCTTGATGGGTCTCCCAAGAACTGAACTCCCTTAGCCCGTACGGGGCAGTTGTTTGCAGACGAAGGTCCAATAAATTCCATCTGTACTCATGGCAGCAAGTGAAGCTTTATTAGTTGAATTTACAAATTGGGGCAACCAAGCCCGAGAAGACAAACTAGCACACCAAGCTTTTTATTCCCTAGGTGAAGACCCTCCCCACCTGGTTCTTCATTGTTTGAGTACTTTGTGTGTGTGTGTGGTGTGTTTCAGGGTAGAGACCCTACCTCAAGTATAATGTAAGGAGAACATTTACATTGATCAAACCTTCAAAGAGACAAAGACAATCATCTGGAGAAGGGAGGCCATCCTGTGGTGCTGCGCAAGACAGACAGAATAGGGGGTGCCTTGGCCCTGTTTTCAGGAAAAACAGGAGTCTGAAGTTTATTCAATATGGGATATCACAGCTCTTGATACAGGCCAGTTCTGGTTAATCACATCCAACAAAATGGCAATGCACTGATCTTGAGTATTCCTTAAGTGTACCTGTATTGAGTTAAAGCTCTGTAGAAGACACCTCTACCTAAGAATTAATGGGGTGTAGGTGTACTGTAGAGAAAGTGTCCTCTCGAAGGGATTAGGTGTAAGGCATCATCAGAACAAAAAATATTACCATAGTGAATGATGGGGGAAGTGCGGAGTGGAGATCCAAAGCCCATTAGTAGGCCACTGGAGATTCCCTTGCAGAGGGGTCTCGGGGAGGAGATGAGCCAGTCAGGGTGCGATCTAACAATGATGAGAAATACAACTTTCCTCTAGTTCCTAAATGTTTCCTCCCCGCTCCCACTACCATGACTCGAATTCTATCTTGCAAGACTGCCTAGCCTAGAGGAGGTACACTAGTATAGATAGGAACTGAAAATACAGGGAATCCAGGACGGATGAACCCTATAGGACCAGTGGTGTGAGTGGCAAAACAGGGAGGGTAAAGGGAGAATGGGTAGAAAAGAGGGAACCGATTACATGGAACTGTGTGTGACCTCCTCCCTGGGGGGACAGACAACTGAAAAGTGGATGAAGGGAGACGTCGGACAGGGCAAGATATGACAAAATACCCATTTATGAACTATCAAGGGCTCATGCGGGAGGGAGGGGAAAAATGAGGACCTAATGTCGGGGGTTTGAGTGGAGAGAAAATGTTTTGAGAAACGATGTACAAATGCGCTTTACACAATTGATGTGTGTATGGATTGGGATAACAGTTGTATGAGCCCCTAATAAAATGTAAAAAAAAAAAAAAAGAGAAAGTGTCCTCCTGGAATGGAATAACACGTACACTTCCACATCTCGGACTGTGGTGTGCACGAGGGCTGGAAGTCAGGCCACAGGAAACTGTTCAGGGTGCGCATGATTCCCAGCCCCTGTACAGGGCCCCACGTGGTTACCTCCAATCAAGGATGCACCTAGGTTGGCCCCGGGAGAGACTATTCTCCCTGGGCTGCTGAGATGGAAGAAATCCACTGACATTTTTCCTGGAGGAAGGCTTATCGACACCCTTGGTTAGTGGTCAGAAAAAAGTTCTATGAAGGTTAAATCTATTTGGGGACCCTGCAAACAGTCTGGGCTGTCATCTATAACCCTTTGCAAACCAGGGTGCTCAGAATTTAAGCTCAAACACAGGTGCAAGCCTCTAGGTCGCTACCTTTCATGGTAATATTCTTAGTTTCTACTTTAGCAGATACTACCCCTCCACTCCCCCAATTCAGCCTGCTCACACATACCCCAGGTGCACGGGTTCCTACCGTTCCCACGTCTGCCAGCAACTTGTGCCCTGCCCATTTATTAACTTCTTGGGTCTTTTGTTCTTATAGCTGACGACGGACCAGCTTGGTGCATATTTCTCACATACCGATGACCTGGGGGAAAAAGCAAGACAGCGCCGAGATGTACACGGAAGCCCTCGCTACCGTGTGGGGTTAAGCGTTATGTGCTCCCAGCCCCCCACCCCGATAAAGTCGCGCGACCTTGAGGCCTTCAGTCTTGCAAGCTAATCAGACCGCACGTGCGTGCAGTTCTCATACGAGGTGTCAGAAATTACGCAATTCATCACTAGCTTCGGGCCACGCCGGGGAGAGGGAGCACCGCGCTTACCTGGACGGACGGACAGACCTCAGGATCCGTGTGCAGCAGGGTTTGGAAAACACCCTCAGACCCACGCGACCCCTCACTTTCTAGCAGCAACAGGCGGAGACCAAACTCCGCATGGAAGGAAAGAGGAAGGCGAGGGCCTCTAACCTTTATAGGAGCTCCACGCTTCTGTGATTGGACAATCCTGACGGAAGTACCTTCCCTCCTCGTATTTAATTGGATCCACGCGCTCTACCTAAGTTGTTTTCACCAATCGGGCTACGGCATTTACTTTAGGGGCGGTCTCCAATGCCCGCCACGCGAAGCTCCTCCCTTCCTTAATGGCAGAGGCTGTGGACTGCGAGCGACGGCCAATCAGAGCCCGACCAGCAACAGAGTGATTCTGAAGCAGCCAATCCTGCCCCGGGGCGGCCGGGACACCGAAGTCGTAGTTTCCAGAGCGCCGCGCGTCAGGTGTCTTCCTGGGCCTCGAGAGCCCGTGGACTACAAGTCCCAGCAGGCGCAGCAGCGGGGCACGTCCGCCTCGCGCGACTGGTCCCTTCCCCGGCCAGTGGCCGAGGGGGCATGATGGAGTGGGAGCGCGGCTCAGCCGCTCCCCGGCGGCCGCGGGCGGGTGAGTGTCCGCGCGGCACGCCGGGCCCGACGCTTGCGCTTCGGGGCCACAGGGCGAGGACGGGAGGCGGGTGCGTCGGGGGTCGGAGCAAAGGGGTGGCCCAGAGGGGGCGGGGCTGAGTCGGGCTAGGGTCTCCGGATCTGTCCTTTTTTCTGTCTGCTGGTCTGGCCCTCTTCATCCCTTCTTCCTGCGTTTACTAAGCGCCGCCTGGGTGCCTGGCCCTGTTCCAGAGGCCAGCGACATGCAGGGGAACGGGCTCCCTGTTTTCACCAGCTCATCTTGGGGTGCTGGATTTCATCTCGGCATTTGGACCATCCGGGCAGGGTCGTGCATTGTGGTGGGGACTGTGCTGTTTTGGAGAGTACTGAGCAGCATCTCTGGTCTGCATACCTTAGCTGCCAGCAGCACCCCGCTGCTACCTGTAATGGTCAAAAACACCCGTGCCTTGGGAGGGGTGGGGTGGGGTTAACGATTTTGAGGGTAGACAGTAAACGGAGGAATTAATGAAAAATCGCTGTAGGAGCTGTGAAGGATACTGAGGGCTAAGAAGCAGAGTCTGGCCTCTGGGAGACCTTTGGGGGCAGGGAACTGTTAGCCGAAGACCAAACGGGAACTTTCGTGCAAGAGCACTCTCCAAGGTGGAGTTCCTGTGTGAGAAAGGGCCTAGCCTGGGAGGCCCCTACAGCACCCTGTGAAGTGGTGAGAGAAGTCAGGGAGGTGGGCAGGCCCTACAGGGTGCAGGATGGGGACCTCACTGTGTATACCAGCTGCTGTTCAGGGGTGTCTGAGCAGAACTGGGTTCTCCATTGGATTTAGTGGCTGCTTTTTCTGAAGTAGATCACCACACCTTTCTTCAGAGGCACCCCTGGGTGGGTGGACTTGAAATTCCAACCTCCCAGTCTGCAGCCATGCCTGTCCGTTGTTTGCCCCACTCTGGGATTCTGAGGGAGGGCTGTTGGGGTGACAGGATCAGGGCTTCGGCTAATGCAAGTGGAAGTGGGACAGTGGGATGTCAGGGGAGCAGTGTGGGGACAGGGGCTATCTATTAGTCCTCACTGGGTTCCAGCTGCCCCAGCTGAGCCTGAAGCTGGTGTCCAGTCGTGGAGCCAAGCTGGGCCTTAGGGTGGGTCCTGCTTGATCCCACCCTGTCAGGGTAGGGGTCATCGTACTCTACTCCAGGCTGCACATCCCTCAGACCCCTCCCCATGTTTCACACCTGGCCCTCTTCCTGGGAGCTGCCCACTTCTTGGCTTTTGCCAAGGGCCACCCAGATGACCTCCCTCGCTCTCCTTCCTTCTCAGTGGGCCTCTCCTCTCCTGGAGGGTCTGTGGGATGGGCACCAATTTTGCCATTAGTCCTTGTGTCCCTGTTTTCAGTATCCTGGCTTGTCACAGGAATCCCAGGTCCCAAGTCCCTACGAAGCCCTGTCCTCTCAGCCAGACCCTCCCTTTATGGGAGCTAGAGTGAGAAACTGATTGGTGACCTGGAATTAGTGGCCCAGCCAGAGGGCCTGCTCCCTGGCTCAGCTCTCTTTGGGTGTGGTCACTGGGTCACTGGGTCACTACAAAACAGCACAGCCCCCACCACAAAGCACGACCCAGTGTCTGTGTGGGTGGAGACAGGAGCCTGCACTGGAATGTTTTTAGGGCTAGTGGGGGGTTCCCAGTCCCCTACTTTCCTTCATCAGGTTGGACTTCTCTCGTTGCCCTCACGTCCCCTCTCAGCACAGGGCCCTGCACACACAGTGGTATAGACCTGGGTGTGTGGGCTGGTGAGAGCTCGAAGCTGGCACACCTGGTGACCTGGGGCTCCCTGGTTCAGTTCTCAGGTGTACGAGGATCCTGGGTTTACAGGTGACAGCAGAGGAAGGGAATAGAAGGGGCAGGGTTTGGCATACTTTGGACCTGGGCTTGCTGTCTGTGTGTCGCTGGGCTGGCCCCTGGGCCTTTCTGACCCTTCTCCACCTTCAGTCCTCATGTTCTCACCCATCTTTTTTTTGGGGGGGGGCACCCCAAGGCCCAGGAGGACAGTCACCTTGCTCAGAGCCACACAGCTGCTCAGCTGATGTGGGATTTGGACCCGGATCTGGGTGGGCCTAGCACCTGCATTCATCACTGTTCTGCTGGGCACCACAGGGGGCAAGGGTGTCCATGAGTGCTGGCACACATCCAGCCCAGAGACATGGTGCAGATGTCTCCTGTCCTGTGACTGGGTGCTGTGACTGGAAAGGCCAACTGGTCTCTCTGGTAGGAAGGGCTAGCCAACCCTTGGGCTCTCCTGGACGTTTCCCCATGAGCTGTTCTGGCCAAAGGCGAGGCTGTTTGAACTCATGGACACGTGTGTGTGTGGGGGGAGACCCAGAAGGAGGGGGCAGGTGAGGCTGGGGTACCTTCTGAGTCCCCACCACAGTTCAGGCTCAGGGACCTCACAGGCATGCAGCCTCCCTGGGGAAGCAAGAAGGGGCAGAGCAGGGGACCAGAGCCCAGAGATGGGCTCAAATATGGGGACCCCAGGTGGCTTGGAAAGTGCAGTCACCAGGCCTAGGCACTGCGGCCCTGGAGCCCCAGGTGGCTGGCTGGTGGAGCCCAAACCTACTTCCGCAGCTGGGAGGGTCTGTCTGCTGTTGTACCCTCATAGATGGACCAGTGGCCCCTGCAGCTGGGCGTTGACATCTGGCCAGGTTCTTCCTCCAGGAAGCCCTCTAGACTTCCCCCAGACAAGTCAGGTGCCCCCTGCAGGGGGCAGGCGTTGGGGGAGAGGCCACCTTCCTGTGATGGTGGGAGGAATTAGAGCCTGGGCCATCCAGGCAGCAGGACCTTCCTAATCCAGTAGGTGGAGGCGTGGATATTGGTGAGGCTAGGACTCTGAGTGCTGAGCCGAGAGAGGGGCCGGTGGGGTGCCAGGACCAGAGTTCTATAGAGTCCGGGTTGTGGTGGAGGGAGAGGGAAGGGCCAGGAGTGCCGCACAGGCATTAGACCAGGAGCTCAGCTTTGCTGTGACAACCAGGCCTGTTTCTATAGGATCTGGCAGCCAGCTCTGGACCGCAGCCAAAGTGGCCCTTGGCAGAGGCTGACCTGGCTGTGCAACAGCAGTCTCAGGGGGCTCTGAGGCTAGGGGCTGTGCCTGGAGCCCTGGCCTTGATCCAGTCAGTGACCACCCACAGGATTGGGCCTCCAGCGTCCTCAACTCTTTGCTGGCGCTGTGATCTCTGAAACAGTGGGCTCTGGGGCTGACGGGGTTCCTAGGCCCTCCTCACTCTCAGCATGTGCTGTTTAGGGGACCCTCACACCTACCCACGTGAAGCTGCTGGACCCGCTACTTGGGTTGCCCACCGGGAAGGGCAGCAAGCAGAGTCCAGTGCCCCTGAGGTGGGGATGAGCCTGTCCTGGGTTGCTCGGCCCTTGGGCCTCGATCCCAGACGGGTGTGAGGGGTGGCTTGTCGCCCCCTGGCCCAGTGCAGCCTTTCCTGGGTGGGGACAGCAGTGGCCTGGCCTGAGGGGGGTGGGGTGGAGACAGCTGAAAGAGAGGGTCCTATTGGCCCCTGCTGGCTTTGCCCCACCCGGCCCCAGGCCAGCACTCATGGTTCCACTTCCTGGCAGGCCCTGTCATCTGCTTTCTGCAGGAGTGAGTGAGGGTCTTCTCTCTCAGACAGACTCACTGGCTTCGGGCCGTCTGGGGAAGCAGGCTAGGAGGAAGGCCTCCTCGGTGAAGCCTGCAGGGTTTGGAGCTGGGTGTGAACCTGGCTGTGGCAGCTGCTTCCCTGTCTGCCGCAGATGGAGGGCGGGGACCGGCCAGCCTCCACCCCTGGGAGCAGGACCAGTGCGTCCCTGCCCTGGTCTGGCAGCAGCCAGCCATCCAAGAGCCCGGAGCTGAAAGGGAGCTGCTGGCCGCTGGTAACCAGGCCTGGACACCTGCCCAGCTGCCAGCCTCCTTGTCAGCCAGGGGCCTGGCATTCCCTAGGCGGGACCAGCCGTGGGCAATGGGGAAGGCCGTTATTGCGAGAGCAGCCCCGTGGGAGACTCCGGCATCTTGCTCAACCCGATGCTGGTTCCTGGTTCCTGGGTTGCGGTCACCGAGTTCCAGCACAGAGAGGGGTGGGGGTGGGGTGAGCACACAGTGGGCAGCCGCAGGAGCTTGGGCTGCATGTAGCTACCAGGCTGGCTGCTATTGGCCTAGGGAGTCCCAGCGACCTACGTGTGGCTGCATGTCTTTACATTTATTTACCTCAGCACAGTGGGGATCAGTGGCCACACACACTGGGCACTCACCCAGGAGAGGGCCCCGGCCCTGGCCTGGCCCACTACCCAAGCTTGGTCCCTGGGCATGGGTGTGGATGGAGCAGAATTCAAGTCAGCGGGGGCCCAGACCGGAGCCTTCAGGAAAGTTGGCCTGTCTCTCCTATGTCCAGGACCCCACCGAGTGATCCCCGAGTGACCACTGCACCAGTGCCAAGGGCTGGGGCAGAGTCAGCCCCTCTCACCCCTGACTCAACCTAGTGCTGGCTTTGCCCCCCTCCCCCTGAGCCCCAATGAGTCAAGCCCTTAGGCAGCGGGGACTATGTAGGGGGGAAGCCTGGTGGGATGTATGCAGGGGCATGGTGGGTTGTGAGTATATGTGTGGAGGGGGAAGGCTACAGAGGGCTGTGGTCAGGAGCAGGAAGGCTTTGGGCTGAGGTTCCTAGGACCCCATCTAGGCAGACCTGTGGGGCGCTTGCAGAGTTGGGGGCCAGGGGTCTCCAGGCAGCACTGGCTCATGGGGGGGGGGCTTTCTCTGCTTTGTGGCTGTACCCTCTACACCTCTGGGCTGGACTGGGGTGGGGAGGCTGGTACGCCATTCAGCACAGTGTGACACAGAACCCTGGCCCCAGGGACACCTGACCCAAGGGACGGGTGGTCCTGGGAGTTAACGGCTGTGACTCCAGAGGGGAGGTATGCAGGGTGGCACCCTCACCTTTGGAGTGGAGGGCTGCCTCTCCCTTCCTGGGCTGTCAGCACCTGGGCAGAGGACACAGGGAACTTGGCCTGCCATGGACACGTCCTTAAGAAATGTTGACAGAGAGAAGAGGGCTGAGGATGCTCACTGAGGGACTCCCAGCACTGACCCCTCACCTCTTCCCCTCAGGGAGCCCCAGCTCTGACCCCTCATCTGTCTGTCCGTCCCCCTGGGGAGCCTGAGCCCTGACCCCTTCCTTGTCCCCACAGAGGACTTGACTCACGGACCCTAGATGCCGGCTAGGCATGAGCTCGGGCAAGAGTGCCCGCTACCACCGCTTCCCTGCCGACCTGCCTGCCCCAGACGCCACCACTGCTGCCGCCGGGGTAAGGCATTTGCCAGCTCCTCTCTGCACCCCACACCCCCAGATAGCCCCGGCAGGCCTCAAGACCTCCACTGACGCAGATACGGCAGGGGGCAGGGCAGCGACGGAGGCCTGCTATTGTGTCATGTGTCTCTGCACACGGGGGTCCATGTAGAAGTGCGTGGGTGCGCATGCGTGCATGCGTGCAGCATGGAAGCATGTGTGCACAGTCACACATGTGCTGAGGTTGTCGGCATGCACACACTGCTTCATGAATGAGCGAGTGTGTGTGCCTATGCCCTGCAAGTGTGGCCACAGCCTCTGCTCTCTGCAGACCAGGATGGAGACGACCTTTGGACCTGCCTTCTCAGCTGTCACCACCGTCACCAAAGGTGAGCCTCAGGGTGGGGGCACCAGGTCTTCTCCCCCTGCCCCTCCCCCCTTGTCCCGCCTGCAGGGGTTTACATCCTGTGTCCCCTGCCACCCCTCACCACTTCCTTCAGGAGACTGGGCCAGGGTATCTCTGACCTGGGGCCAGCACTAGAGGCAACAGCTGGGGATGGCCCTGGGAGCTTGGTTTCTCTGCCCACAGAGCCAGGGTCCCAGGCCGAGTTTGTCCTGCCTGCAGGGCACTGGCCGCCCAGGAGCTGGCCACTGCACCCGTGGGTTTCTGTGGCTGCCGGGTGGGGTCCTCTGCTTGGCGAGCTTCTCCTCACAAGGAGGGGGATCACTGCCACTCTGGTGCCAACCCTGGCTTCAGTTCTTCGTCCTGGCTGTAAGAAAGCGCTCGGACTCACTGCCTTTACATGCATTCTGACCGGGAGCAGGACAGCCCCTGGGGGTCCTACAGCCATGCCTCTGTGCGGGAGCCTTATCTCTGTTCCGCAGAGCGGCTGGTGGATTTGCACTGCCCGCCCTGTACTTAGCAGCCCAACTCGTCCTGGAGGCCCTTCAGTGGAAAATGGGCAGAGCTGGTGATAAAGCCCAGGTGGTTGCCTCACTGGCCCCTTCATCACCAAAGGGAAACTGAGGCTCTACCCTGGAGCAGCACTTGGGGTCCTGAGCCTGGGGTTGGGGGGCAGGCAGCCAACTCTCAGGGCACCTCAGCGGCAGCATGTCAGCCCCACCTGCTGTGAAGGGCGGCGGTCCTGCCTCTGTTTCCTCTTGGAGCGGGGGTGGGGTTGCTAGGGTACCATAAAGATTCAAGAAGTGGATACCCCCACTTTTGTCTAGAGACTTGCCGTGTCCTCCCTGGGTGTTTGCAGGGCCGATTAGAACTCCTGTCCCCAGCACACCTGCCTGGGTGGGGGCAGACTCTGCACTCTGCAGGGAAACTGACCCCCTCTGTCCTAGGAGTGCTGAGTGGAGGGGATGGCCCTGGGGGGGGGGAGGCACGGCCCTGAGGGGGGACACTGCTGGACCCCCAGCAGCTCCCACAGACCCAGAAGGGTGCAGTTGTTGGTGGTGGTGGGAGGTGAGTTCCTGCCTGATGCCCGGCCTCTGTCCCCTGCCAGGCAGACCCCTGGGGGAACCCAGTGTGGGCTAGGCCCCTGCGGGAGTTGGGTAGGGGGGCTGTACGTGCTTACCAGGTTCCCAACCCTGTCTTGCACAGCCGATGGCACCAGCACCTACAAACAGCATCGCAGGACCCCGTCCTCGTCCAGCACCCTGGCCTTCGCCCCGAGGGACGAGGAGGACAGCATGGTGGGTCAGCTGGCCGGCAGGAGGAGGACGCTGGCAAAGGGACAGTGCAGGCGGGCAGTCTGAGTGCCTGGGGGTGGGCCAGCTCCGGAAGGAATCCCACATGAGGCTGGAGGGGTGGGGGGTAGGGGGTGCCACAGGACACTTGATCAGGAGGGACAGGTAATTCTCAGGAGAGCAGGCCTTGGGCTGTTGACCTGAAGGAGGCAGTTTGCAGGGCCCTCAGGAGAGGAAGGGTGGGTAGGCTGGGTGCAAGGTCTGCAGGGGATCCGTGAGGCCTGCAATGAATCCTGGGAGCCAAGGTGCCCCTTGAAGCTGTGCATTCTGGTCGCCTGGAGCTTTGGTTTGGTGCTTGAAGGGCCCTGGTGGCACGGGGTTCATCACTGGGCTTCAGACCCACCAGCCCCTGCTCACGAGAAGGGAGAGGCCTTCTGTTCCCATAGAGGTCGGCTGGTTCAGGACCTCCACAGAGCAGTTCCTCTCTTTCTGCACGGTGACCTTGAGTTTGAATCCATCCATGGCTGTGGGTTTGCGTTTGTTTTCTTAGTGGCTTTGGTAGCTGGCAGCCCACAGGGTGGGTGTGGGGAGCAATGGTGAGTGCAGGAACTTCTGGAAGTTTCTGGACCCCGCTGGGAAGGAAGGACAGTGACCCCCAGAGCAGAGGCTGCCCTGCGATGTTGACTATCTCCACTGTCCCTATGTGCCTCCAGACAGGCACCGGTGTGTTGGGGTGTGTGTGTCCCGTGTGTGTGTGTGTGTGTGTGTGTGTGTGTGTGTGTGTGTGTGTGTGTGTGGTGGGGGGTGAAGGAGGCCCTGGTTGGCCAGTGGGGGTGCCCTGGAGTGCCCGCTTTCCCTGCTCACGGGAAGCAGGAAGTAGCCTGAGCCGTCCTCCTGGAATTGAATAGCAGGAAGTCCCTCCGTTTACAAAGAGAGCTGGGATGTGAGTCGGTGTGGCAAGACCTGTGTCTGGCTTGGCCTGCAGGAGGGGGCTCAGTTCCCCGCAGCTCCCTCTAGGTGCTGCCTCTGCTGTCTGGGGTCGCACTGCAGGCACCCATTTGGACAGGGGCAGCCCCTTGGGGCTGGCCCTGCTCTGCCCCCTGGGGCTGGGGGGCCAACCCCTGACAGACCCCTGTGCACGCTGCAGCCCCCCATCAGCACTCCGCGCCGTTCCGACTCGGCCATCTCCGTGCGCTCTCTCCACTCCGAGTCCAGCGTGTCCCTGCGCTCTGCGTTCTCACTGCCCGAGGAAGACGAGGAGCCAGTACGTTGGTGGGGGTGGGGGCTGGGGGTGGGGGACAGGATGGGCACAGCTCCGACTGGAGTACGGGGTCTGGGGGTGCCCATTCTCTTTTCCATCCTTGAAGTGGATAGTAGCCGACTCTGTGCTGTTTGGATCAGGGCCTCTCCTGGCGCAAAACCTCCTGTTCTCCCCTTATCCCAGCTTCCCTTCTGCCTGGGGCTCCCCCCATCCCAAGGATGAGGCACCCCTCCCCTGTGGTGGCCGCGCCTCACTTGCCCCCTCCCTGGGCTTGCAGGAACCGCTGGTGTTCGCTGAGCAGCCGTCCGTACAGCTGTGCTGCCAGCTGTGCTGCTGTGTGCTCAAGGACCCCGTGATCACCACGTGCGGGGTGAGGGGCTGCCCAGGGTCCTGACCTGGGGGGAGGGGCGGCACCCAGCCACCATGTGCAGGGGCAGGCCGGAGGCCACTGGCAGCTCAGTGCCACATGCCCAGTGTGGAGCAAGTGGGTGAGGGCCAGGGTTTGACCGCTGTGTGCAGAGTGACAGGCAGGGCTGGGTGGCACGTGTGGGACGGGGGGGAGGCCGGGGCAGGGCCAGGTGAGGCCTGGGGTTCCGGGGGACCAGGCCGAAGGGTCCCGCTCACTTCACCTTTCTGTGCCCCTCAGCACACCTTCTGTAGAAGATGCGCACTCAAGTCAGGTAAGCCCCCTCAGGAGACCCGGCCCCGGGCAGGGGGGTTCCCAGTCAGGCCTGTGTGTGCTGACCTCCTGGTCTCATGCTGCCTGGGGTCGGGCCTGAGAGAACGAACTCCCCGACTGCTCTGTGAGGCTGGCCCCAGCCCTTGCCCTACCTCAGATGGTCTTGGCCAAGTGGTCCCCGTGGGCAGCAGGGTATGGACTTGTGCATCCATCAAGATGAGGCGCCCCCTTCCTGGCCGGACCCCCCTAACCCCATCAGGACTCGGCTGTGTCTGGAGGAGGGCTGTGGGTCAGCGTGTCCCCCCAACCCCTCCACGCGTCCTCCTCAGAGAAGTGCCCCGTGGACAACGCCAAGCTGACGGTGGTGGTGAGCAACATCGCGGTGGCCGAGCAGATTGGGGAGCTGTTCGTGCACTGCAGGCACGGCTGCCGCTCGGTGGGCCTCGGGAAGCCCAGTGCCTACGAGGTGGACCCCCGGGGCTGCCCCTTCACCATCAAGCTCAGTGCCAGGAAGTGAGTGCACCACACAGGGTGGCTGCGGACCCCCCCGGCCAGTCTCCTGGGGACTCAAGCCCTATTCCCGGGTGCCCCGCCCACAGGGACCACGAGAGCAGCTGTGACTACCGCCCTGTGCGCTGCCCTAACAACCCCAGCTGCCCGCCCCTCCTGAAGATGAACCTGGAGGCCCACCTGAAGGAATGCGAGCACATCAAGTGCCCCCACTCCAAGTA